GAACCCTCTGCCTAAATTCACTACGTTCAATTACCCACCATAGACTCCGGTCATTCAAAATGACTATTTTGAACTGTAGGCAGAGTCAGATGAAAGTCTTTTCCCAGTCCGGGATGAAACACTCAACAATAATCACTCAACACCTTAGTTAAGACCCAAAAAGGGTGGTGTCTTAGCATGCCTGTGCTGACTCCGGAGCAAGAAGCCAAAAGGCTGCTACGGTGACAGTGTTCGGAGTAAGCTAGACCCCACAAAAATGCGGAGATTGATTTATCGCCTATGCGCAGGGACCCTTGTGGTCGTTCGGGCTGGGTCAGCAAACCAAGTCTGACCCGCTAAGACGGGACCCAACTTAAAGAGACCCTCCTCAATGGATTGGGTGTCTCTTAGGTAGTAGTTGATAAAGACGTTCTGCGTTCTCCAGAAGCCTGCCCTCAGTGTGTGCTCGAGGGGGGCTCCTGACGCTAGCACTAGGAAGTTAGCAATCACACAGACCTCGTGCGCTCGTACTTGGTGTGCAACTCCATGCTCGAACCAGGCAGAGAAACAATTCCACCTGATCCTCCGGGCCGACAATATTTGACAGCCGGGGGATGACGATCGGTTGAGGATTGTGTCCTGGGATTTGGTTCTTGGCGAGAAACCGGATTCGTGTCTTTAGCACAACTTGATCGTCCATAAAGGTGGCGCACCCGCCCGAGAAAGACAGTGCGCCTAGTTCTGACCGACGCCTACCCGAGGCGAGGGCCAGTAGAAAGACTATTTTCCACGTCAAAAATTTGTGTGGTGCTGAACAGAGAGGCTCAAAGGACGGTCTGCTTAGAGCGGACAACAACAACCGCCAAATCCCAGTTGGGCGGTTCTCTTGTACAGGGTCTCGGTGTCTGGAAAGCAGTAAATAGTCTCCTAATAATAGGACAATCGGCTAGTCTTGTTCCCGAAACGTTCTCAATGGTGGGGGACAAGGCCGACCTGTAGCAATCACTGCGTAGGACAAACCCACTTCGTCAAACAGGTGGATGGTATGGATCAATCTCCATTCTGCTACACCAATCAGTGTATGCCCGCCATCTAGAAATGTAGGCCTTGTTGGTGAAATCCCTGTTCGCCCTGGCCAGGACGTTAGCAGCCCGCTCAGATAAAGCTTTCATATGTGCGGGTCTACTGAGAGCCTCTATGCGTGATACCCGCTGGGCTCATTGGTAGTGCGCCGTCCAGTTGGGACAGCAGGTCCGGTAAGTCTGGAAGCACTACTGGTGTTTCGACTAGCATTTCCAACAGAAGTGGAAACTAGGCCTTGGTTGGCCAATTACAGGTGTGCACCTGTCGAAGTTTTCTCCGGTGCCCGGTGAACTAGCGGGAAGGGAGGAAAGGCGTACACAACTAAGTGGGTCCACAGGGTTAGCAAAGCGACCCTGGCCCAGGCTCCTGGAGTCGGCAGGAGTGTTATGTACGTCGGGAGCTTGGCGTTCCGGGGTGTGGCAAACCGGTCTATCTTTGGACTGTCCCACAGCCGAAACAGTCTGGAGCCTACCCACTGGGGTATCAGCCACTCAGTGTTCTTCACCCCTGGAAGGTGGTGTGCGGTTAGCTCCACATTGTATTCCAGGCACCAAAGAAGGATTTGCTCCGCTAGGACTGACAACAATGGGGAACATGTCCCCCCTCCTTCTTGAAGGAGACCACCGCTGCGTTGCCTGTGCGGGGCAGGACTCTGTGGTCTCGAACTACGGGTAGAAAGTGTGGTAGTGCTAAGTGCACTGTTTTCAGTTCGAGCCGGTTGATATGGTGGTCCCGAAACTAATGCGGGGGCCATATCCTTGGGCTTGTTCGTCCAATAGGTGCGCTCCCCAACCTTGGAGGGAGGCATCTGTTACCAGAGTCATACCTGCGGTGAGTGGGTCCAAGGGGGCCTATCTAGTTCCCATAGGAGAGCTCGGCATTGTAACAACAAGCGTTGTACCGGGCGGCTGCGTAGTGCGGCCTGGGGAACCACCCTTCGAACCGAGGTCATCATTCCGATGATATGCATTAGTTCTCGGAGGGACACTGAGGGAACTAGGCATTCGGCTAGGCTGCTTAGCGCTAAGCAACACACTTGAAATAGCTATACCAAGCTTACCTCTGTGTCAAAATTCCATGCCCAGGGACACCAACTGCGCGTTGGGTCGAGATGGGACTTGCTGATTTACTGAAGAGCCCAACTGGTGAAGTAAATCCTGTGTTAGCCTGACGTGTTTGGCTAACAACCCCTTGTTCGGGTTGTGTAGTAACCAGTTGTCTAGGTACGGTTTGAGGTGTACCGACATTTGGTGAAGCCGCAGCACTACCTGTTTCATCACTCGGGTGAACACGTAGGGTGCTGTGCATAACCTGAATGGGGGGCACCCGAAATTCAAATATTTGGCCCAGCTGGGCGATTCGAAGGGGGTGGCAACTTGCTGGGTGCATCAGTATGAGCAGGTAGGCCCCTCTTAAGTCTAGTGGGGGCTAGCCAGTCAAAACGGTGGATGGAGAGAAGAACCCTGAATGGAGTCTCCATGCGGAACCAATCGAGGAGCACGTAATGATTCAGTCTGCCTAGGTCCAGAACTGGACCCCGCCACCTGTGTATTTGGTACTATGAACACATTTGGATAGAAGCCTGGGCTTAATGCCGGCTGATCTACCCTGTGTATGGCGCCCTTTTCCAGCAAACTGCTACTTCCTGCCTGATTGCTTCCACCTTGCGGGAGTCCCCTGGCAGTGCCCAATAGGGGAGACACTGACGGGGGAGATGGAGATTTCAGCGGTATCCCGTAACAGAATGTCACCACCTGGAAAGGTCCAGGGATCGGTCACCCGCTGTCTCCAAACCGGACTACACCGGCGCAATCTGTGTACGACAGGGATATGTGGCCATGGGTTCGGCAGTTGCGAGGTGTTGATTGGTGTTGGTGCCACCACCTGGCCCTTTCCTCCCTGGAGGCACGCCGCTACTCGTCTCTCCCGTGAAAGGGTATGAGCGCTTGCCTCCTGGCTGACTCTGGCTAGCGGACAACGCCCTAGGACGTTGTGTTTTCTGTGCTTGGGGTGCCCTCCGCTTACCCTGGGCAGGGCCAACTGGCTAGCGGATTCGATCTGAACCCTCTGGTTCATTGCACTCCGAAGCTCCAAGACTGTACCCGCCATTCCCCGAACAAAGAGGGTGGAAGATGTCCAGTCTGCGTCACTGAGGTGGGGACGTACCCCCTGAC